TCTCTCTCTCTCTCTCTCCTCTCCTCTTCTTTTCGAAAAAGGTTGAAAAAGGTACGCGTATTTCCATTAGTATAAACCGACGGTGGTGTGCATCACGAGGCGAGACTTCACCAAGGCTGGCAACTCGTACGTCCTGAAGGAGCTGCCAGCCGGCAATTATTCGGTGAAGGTTCGAGCGACCAGCCTTGCGGGGAACGGCGCTTACACCCACGTGAAATACTTCTACATCGAGGAACGGAACACGATGAACACGTTCTGGATAGTGTTCTGGCTACTGTTCTGCGCGATCCTGCTCATCTTCACCTTGGCCGCGTTCTACGCGTGTAAACGGAAATTCTTGAGGAACGTGCCCAACGTGACGCTGATCGCCACCGTGAATCCCGAGTACGTGAGCACCCCTTACGTGCTGGACGAGTGGGAGGTGCCCAGGGAGAAGATCGAGATGCTGAGGTCGCTGGGAACCGGCACGTTCGGCATGGTTTACGAGGGGATCGCGAAGGACATCGTGAAAGGCAAGTCGGAGGTCCGATGCGCGGTGAAGACGGTGAACAAGGACGCGACCGATCGAGAACGAATCGAGTTTCTCAACGAGGCGTCCGTGATGAAGTGAGTGAGACAAACCGAGAGAAACCTTCTTCCTCCTCGATCTTTCCTCATTTATTATCACGTTTCTCTGCGCAGAGGTTTCGACGCTCATCACGTGGTCAAACTTCTCGGCGTGGTGACCCGTGGCCAGCCGACCTTGGTCATCATGGAGTTGATGGTGAACGGAGATCTGAAGAGGTACCTGAGGAGCCACAGGCCGTGCGAGAACATGTCGAACGCGCCGCCAAAATTGGACAGGATACTGCAGATGGCGATCGAAATCGCGGACGGGATGGCGTATCTGTCCACCAAGAAGTTCGTGCATCGCGATCTCGCCGCGAGGAATTGCATGGTTGCCGAGGATTTGACGGTGAAGGTGGGCGACTTCGGGATGACCAGGGACATCTACGAGAGGGATTATTATCGGAAGGGGAGCAAGGGTTTGTTGCCGGTCAGGTGGATGGCGCCCGAGAGCCTCAAGGACGGCGTGTTCAGCAGCTATTCCGACGTGTGGAGTTACGGTGTCGTTCTCTGGGAGATGGTCACCTTCGCCTCCCAGCCTTATCAAGGTTTATCCAACGAGCAGGTATCTACGCGTGGATCATTCTCCGCGATTCCTTCGATCGATCGATATCGATTCTTCCCCTCTCCCCCCAGGTGCTGCGATACGTGATCGAGGGAGGTGTCATGGAGAGGCCTGAGAATTGTCCAGAGTTGTTGTACGAGTTGATGAAGCGGACCTGGAGGCACAAGGCGACCAGGAGGCCCACGTTCATGGACATCGCGACCATGCTGCTCAAGCACATAGATTCGGAGAGTTTTCAAGAGGTCAGCTTCTATCACAGCCCGGAGGGAGTGGAGGCGAGGAATCAGAACAGGTCCAACTCGCCCCAGATAAATCAGTGAGCGCAATTGTTATATTCGTTCTCAATATTCGATCGAGCTCTTCTCTTTCCTTTCTCTTTCCTCTCTAACGATCGCCACGAATTTCGCAGGCACCTGGAACTGGCCACGTTGCAAGATCTGCAAGAAGAGGAGGCGGAGGGCGAGGAGGATTCCCCGCTGCGGCAAGATTTCGGCGACTTCGCGAGCTTCGAGCCGGCGAGCATGAAGAACAGCTTCGGCTCCCGTTTCAGGATGGACTCGTACGGCGAGAATTCGAAAACGACCCCCAACTGCCATGACATGAACTCGTCGAACGTTCCGTTGAAGGCCGGCTTCGACGATTTCGACGGCGTCTCCGCGGATTCGATCGCCTCCGCCAAGGACGCGTTGAACCTGCCCTTCGTCGAGGACAGCCTCAAATCCGTGAAGAGTTCCCCGTTCGTGAACGCGAGGACCGGTTCTCGAAGCAACCTGAGCCAATTGTCGACCAGCAACAGATCCGGCAGCCCGAAGAACCCGAGCGGCAAACGGAGCTTCCTCGGCAGCCCCAACTCGTCCAAGCTGGCCGCGAACCCGGATTACGAGAACGGCAGCCCGGAGATCTTGTCCGCTGCTTGCGAGAAGAGGGAGACGGTTCCGCTTCGCCTCGACTTCCCGTCCATCGACGCGATCGACATCGACAACGGGATGGAGAAGAAGGAGCCGTTGTCCCCGGTCGAATACGTGAACAAACCGTCGGAGACGTTGAACAACGGCTACATAGGTGGCACGGCCACGTAGTGTTAACTCGGGGGTTAATCGTTACACCCCCGAGAGGGTGCGACGTTCGTTTCGCGCGGAGGAGAGGATCGAAGCGATCGGATCGGATCGTGTTTGAACGTTTGAGCGAACGGAGAAGCGAGCGGGTGTGTGTGATCGTATGTTGAGTAAGTCCAGCCAGATATATACATATATATATATATGTATGTATGTATGTATGTATGTATGTATGTATGTATGTATGTATGTATGTATGTATACGCGGTGGATGAAACATCGCGTGAAACAACGAAAAGAAGAAAGGGGCAGTGTCTGTAGGACGACCGTGTTAGAGGTTCAAACGTTCAAACGTTCGAAAAAGTTGGGGAAACGCGAGCGTGATGATATTTTATTATCGTACAACACGATAATATCCTCCCTCTCGTCTTGTCACCGACGTTTTTACGAATTATTTCTTTTTTCTTTCCTTTTTTTTTTTTTTTCTTCTCTCGTAACAAAATCTCTCGAACGTCCCACGATTTCGTCTCTCTAAGTATCCTATATTGTTATTATTATTACTATTATTATTATTATTATTATTATTATCATTATTATTATTATTACTATTATTATTATTATTATTATTATCGTTATTATTAGTAAGATAAGATACGTCGGTTTTTTATTATCGCGCGCATCTGCTTGTGCAACAGCAGACACTGCCTTCTCACCTGTGAAAGAAAGAGGCGCGTCGAAATCGGATTCGACCGTGTTTTTCCAATCCAATCTCCCGAAGAAAAGCGACGATGAATAAGGAGGATAACGTCCTTTAAACCGGCCTCATCCTTTGTCAAAGATATTCGCGTTCTGTGCATAAGTACACGTACACACACATACACCACATATATTATACTACGCGCCTGTGTATATATATATATATATATATATATATATATATATATATATATATA